TATTTGGTACAGATCATGTATATAAAACCAACGTACGAAAAGTTGGAAGACAATGAAGAATCCAATAACTACCCACACTAGAAATAAATGTGCAGAAAAATGCGTTCTTTTCATATGAAACTGCACTCATGCTTTTGTTCGAAAATGTCATTTTAGAATTTTAAGAGGTAAAATTAGCTAGGGGAAACAATAACATTTTTATTGTTGAAGTGGTAACCTAATCTAATCTAGGCGAAACAGACAACACTCCTACAGGACAGCGGACTATAGTCCTAATTTCAAGTCCATCCATTAGAAGTACGTGTCATGTAAACATTTCTTGAGTATTTCAGTATTAATGAAAGTCGCACAATATACCAATTAAAGATGATTGATCAAAATTCATACTTTAAAATGACATTTCAAATTAGTAACATCAGATAACATACCCGGTCCACTTGACTGGAGGCACTAACATTGGCATATAAGGGATGACCATGTGCCTGGCCTGTAAACAAAATATTAACTTGTAGAGATCAATTTACACACGGGACGATAAAAAATTAACATGAAAATGCAAAAAAGATTTTATTGACTTCAAGATATACATTGGAGTTCATCAAAAGATTCCATAGTTATAAATTCTCTCAGAAACACACTAACTTAACTAAAAAATAAATTTCCATGTAATGCATTAATAATCGTGCTATTTCAAAATGATGATATCTGATTATTCCAAGGAAAAACATACAGTTCTTTCAAGGCCTTTAATAATAAGTGGGTCACATTGGATAACACCATATCTTCTGCTAAAGTTCCTGTACAAAGAGAAGCCATTAAGCACCGTTGAAGACTGAAGCATCAGAAAGAAAGCTAGACAGAAGAATTAAAAAAAAACTTACTTTGTTTCTTTCCGTACAGTTATACAAGTGTGTATAAATGCAGGTCTAATATCAGGTGGACTGTCTGCTAACTGATCGACTGGAGGCTGTATATAGGCTGTTTGAAGCAGCAATTCGATGAGTCGGCTGCCAACCTGAGAGTCAAAATAACTGCACATTTAGTTTGACAGAAAACATTAAACTTAGCGCCTGTTTGACAACCATTATTTCGAAACTCTTTAATTCTCATACTCATTTTCAACCGCACATTTACACAATAAAATATTTTGCACATAAACCCAAAACTTTTCCCTACTTTTTACATTATCCAAAATCACCATTAAAAACTCCATTTTCTCAAAATAATGGCCATCAAATAGGAGCATAATGCATTCATTACAAGAGTCAGGTCAGACCTTTGCTTTAGCATCAGTCCCCCATGGTTTTGAGTCATCCTGTCCTTTAACTAGTTGCCTCACTGCTTGCAGCTTTTGTTTTTTCATCAAGTTATTAACTGTCTTTCGTAATTTTTCTTGTTTTTGGGTATTGCCATCAGATCCACTATCTTCCTGTTTTGTCTTTTTAACTTTTTGCCTCTGTGTTTTCATCAAGAATTTATGAATTCTAACCTGACCAATGACAGAAATTGTTAAGAAAATAATACAAAGAGCCATCATCATTACAGTCAACCAACCATAAGTTTCTGAAATGGGTAAAAGCATATTACCCCCATATCCACAAAAAAAGGCACTACACCCTTTCTAATTTTGAAAATAGGCAAATCTCAACACTGTTCCTTAAATCAAGCTTGTTGCATCCATTTACTGACACTTGGCAATGTTCCAAACCCCAACACACTCCATGCAAGCGGCACATAATTTTAATCGATATCACGATCTCCCAACTTACAAGCTAATTCTTCTCTGGTTTAACACTACTAATTTCCTACCTACCACTTTAATTTAATCCTTTAATGAATCCAAAATGTCCAGAAAGTCAGAAATCAAATTCAAGTCTTTATGATTCAAGAATTATTGGAAACCATATAAAATATTCCCAGACTCATCTAATCTACTTCAAGTGCTAAGAATTATTAGATCCCATATAACATGCTCCCTTCATATCGACAGTCCACATATTCGGAGCCCAATCTAGATTGTCGACTCTAAGGAAATCACTGAAAATGCAATCACTCACCAATAATAATTTGATGTCCTTATTTTATTAAGTATTAAATAGTGAGTTCAAGCAAGTTAGCAACAAAAATTAATGAAGAATGATTTTCCAAAAACATGAACCTTGGAGTCTAAACCTGTGGTCTTTGCCATTGGCAATTATAACTAAGTCATAAAACTTTCCAACCATATTGCCTTTGAAATAAAGCTCACAAACCTCTTGCTCAATTGCATCGCCTATCATGCAAGCAGCCTGTACTACCCTTGCACACCCATGCTCACCTCCAGTCATCAACAATCCCATTAGCTTATGCATGGTGATAATAGACATCATGTCAGCTGGCAAGTGATCAAAGTACTTGGCATAGCCCGCCTTACTCTTCCCTTTCCGAATCAACTCCTGCTCTGCAGCAATCTTATCACGCAATGGTCCAAACCATCCCAAAAATAAAGATTTCACATAAGGCAAATTGGGAGCCAATTTCTGCTCACACATATCCATTAAAAGCTCCTTATACTCTTTAGCCGCTTGCTCCCATGCTTCAGTCTCGATCCTAGCTTGCCTCCTCCTAAGCGCCTGGTACTTCTGTTTCCCCATTCCATGAGCGCTCTGCTGCCTCCAGCGCTGACAATACTGTTTCCTGTCCTCTTTTTTCACCTCAGATAACAATTCTTGAACCTCGTCAGCCAAAGAAACATTAACATTATTATAATCCTCCCCCACATCTGTGGGTGATACTGCTACAGCCTCGGCTACAGAGGCATAACTTTTTGGGCACAATCCATAAGCATTGACTTGGCTTCTCACACCGCTCAAAATGGGTCTGCCCACAACTTCGTCCCGTGTAAAAACTTCGCCAAATTTTCGAAGACCCAGTTCAGAGAAACAAAAATTGGAGCTAGAATTAAGCTCAAAGAGGGGTCTACATTTGAATTTCTCAGGAAAAGTTGAATCTTGGGAGAATCCAAGAAAGCTGCAGGTGCGAGAAAATGATTGGGGATTGAGAGAAAGCTTTGTTGGGGATTTTGAAGTAGCTTGTTTAACAATTTCTCTCAACATAACTGGGGAATTCTTGGGTAGGTTTACAACAAAAGCTGCAGAATTACCCAGCGGAATTTTCGGCTGCTCGATTTTGATGCTCAAAGAAAGCGGGGTTTTGCAGCTGGACATCAAGTTGTATACAGAAAATCTTGAAATAGGGAACAATGATAGTGATAATATTGGAATAATCAGAAATAAATTGAATGACGTTCGATAATTGGTTAGCAAATGATTGATTCAAGGAGTTGTAATAATTCATGAAATCGATCTTAGCAAATGGGAGAGTTTGATTTACACTGAAAAGGGCATTCTTGAAATACCGACGTTAAACCCTTCTAAAACCTTCCGTCCCAGTTCTGTTGCAGGATTTTTCGAACCGAAAATAGTGGAACAAAAAACTAATGAAAATATGCATGTTTAGTTCCAAACTATGACCTATATAACACGATGATCTCAAACTTTTGCATTAGAACAATTTAATTACAATTTTCATTGTTATTACATGCTCCACAATTTGTGCTTTTTTTTTTTTTTTTTTGAATAAAATTATGATCTAATCATAATTTCAAGTCAATTTTAAATATTAATTTAATTATACTTCCACAATTATTACACACTTATCATGCACACATTTCAGATTATTTCTTTCATTATAATTCCATACAAACAAGCACAAATTATTCATATCTTTATTAAAATGTTACCTACAAGACACTTAGAACACAAATAATTCAAATAAAATTATAAAAATGTAAAAAGAAAAGAAAGGAAAAAAAAATTGCCATATGCTTTGCAACTTACAATATTTCGTCACTCTTTGAGCCCTATTTTATTGAATATATTCTGTAAAAAATGAATTTTTAAAGAATGTGTAAGGAAAAAATTAAAGTTTAAATACAAAATTATTTACTGAAAGAACATTTGTTTAAAAATAAATTTTAAAGAATGAGCTCTTTTGAGACTTCATCTTTATTGGTAAACGTTAGTTTACATATCTTTTTGGTATATTTTCTTGTTCGTTTTTTTTGTTTATTTACTTATTAATTACGCTAAAAAAAATGTCTTCGTTTATTGTCGCGTTTATGTTTCTCATTTGAGTAATGATGAATATCATTACTGGTGTTAAGTATCAACCTAGGTAACAATTATATGACATTAAGTCCCTGTTTATCATCATTTTTCACCATCCATTCACACAATAAAATATTTTACACATAAACAAATAAAATTTATTTAAATTTTAACTACATATTCTTCAAAAAATACTATTCAAAACTCTAAAATTTCCCACACAATAGAAGACAAATAGATTCTAAATAATATATTCACTTAAATGTAACGTCATACAATTCATTTAATTGAACATATCAAGAACGATCATTTAGAGTGGTGTTTTAACACCACTAATGCTATATAGCATTATTCAATTAGAAGGAATAATTCATCCCAATTGATGTGGCATATCATGTATGACCAAATGAATTGACCAATTAAATATTTGAATTTATTCTTTCTAATGAGAATCGTACTTTTACATTTTTTTTTTTTTTTTACTTATTTAGAAATACAAAGGACATATAAATCATTTTAGATCTTCTCAACGAACTTTTTGAACATGATGTACTAGTTAATAAAAAGGTGAACGAACGAAAAATAAAAATTTCATCACTACGAGCAAAAAGTTAAAGACCTTCAATGCATCTCAATTTTCCTCCCCAAAATGATTTTTCCAAAAACATTTTCTAGTGATCTAATGTAATCGTTAAACATCTAATACATAAATACATACATGCGTGTGTGTGTGTATATAATTTTTTATTTTTTTACTATTTCCTTAGTATTTTTGTACGCCATCAGTACTTTTTTAAAAGCGTGCAAAGCAAGAAACAATGTTGAAAGATACTACTTCATGGACGAGTATACTTTCTGCCAACATAATGACTATTAGGACATCAACCGTCAGGACACAAATCAAAATACACCCTAAATGATACCACAAATGGTCATGCCAGACGGAAAATCAAAAATATCATAAGCAATAATTATCTTTCATACATGAACCAAACCTCTCTGGGGAGATGGGGGTAGAAATTCGTCGCAATAATCAAATTAGAAACCCAAATCTGTATGCCGAAGTGGTTCCTTCACAAATTTGAGAAACTCGAAAGAACGTACGATGATTCAGAGATTTGTCTAAGGTTTGGAATAACGTGTTTCTGCTCCTGTTGTGCAAAGAGAGCAGTCTGGCAAGCTGAGCTATGGATGACGCCATGGACGCATGAACCAAATCAAAATTCAAAATTACATTTTTGACCCTTCTTGAAAAGATGATTATTTCAGCAGATGTAGCTTGGATAACGAACTTAGCAACCACGAATTGGGGATACAAGAATGCCTTCAACATAACTGTAAACAACAAACCATTATTGACCAATACGAGTTTTGCATTAACATGAAGTTAAGCGTGCAGGCAAAAAAGAGGAAGTCTAGAGTAAGATCATAAGCAAAAGCACATGCAGTATTAAATTATATGTTAAGTGAAATGCGGCAACAAATGACCGAAAATAAAAAATTTAGCCATTAGGACTACCTTTGATCCATCCTCAGACCTTTGCCCCCACAGGCTTGAAACAGTCGATATTGCACAAAACTGCTGATCTCATAATAACTCCAAAGCTGCCATCACCCAATTTCAACGGTCAATAAAAAGGTTTTTGCATATAACTAATTGCGTGATAAAATTCCGATATAGTAGAAAGCATGTATGCACAAGTGAAAAAAACTCTTAAATATTTAAGTTGTGCCCAACCGATCTATGCTGTTCCTTGCTTTCTCTGGCTGTTCAGCATTGTTATTTGCTTTCTCAGCATAATCCATACTCTTTCTCGATTTTTCTCTCCTATCAATGCTGGTTACGGATTTCTCTCTTTGATCTATGCTTGCTCTAGGTTTTTCTCTTTGATCAGTGCTCGATCTAGACTTTTCTCTCTGATATGTGCTTTCTCTAGGTTGGCAATCTACGCTGTTTCGCGTATTTTCTGTCTGATTTGTAGATGGCATTGATTCATTTATCAAATGTGCTGATTTTTCAATTGCTATTATAAACTTCTTTAAATGCTTAATATATTCTGGGTAAAGTTCCAGGTCACAATGATTGCCACCTTGAACCCACAAGGGCTCGTACTTCTCTTTGCACAGCTCCCAGAGCTGCTTCCCGTGGGAGCAATCTACAACGTCATCTGCAGTACCCTGTAAATAAACAAAGAAGAAAAGAAGTGTGTAAAAGGAAGAAGGGAAGAATTTCTACCTGCGAATTATGCAAGAACACATTCAAACTACGGATAGATTGAGTTTCTATCCAGAGGTATTTGCATTCCAGGATTTTGACATTTTAGCATTATCACTTCATCTCATTACTGAATTTTTTTAATACAAATTGATTTAGCCAGTGTAAAAGGGTCCCTTAGGATGTTGTACTGCAAATAAATAATAGCAAAGATTTATCACAGTGCCATCATCTGCTCTCCAGGTGCTTGTGTAGTACTCCCTATATTAAAATAACATGTTTATGATGACAAGAATGATAATCAATCTTGATGAGGTGCGATTAGATATGCATTAAACTGGGGCTTAAATATACTTTTATATTCAGGTTCAAGGAAATTATTGTGGCACTATCTAAGTGACTTTGTCACAAAAATACACCAACTTGGGCAGTGGGAACAAATAAATACACAACGGAAAGTTTATTACAATGATAATGAACTATTATATTTTAGCTTCTGACATCTCCACTGTATTCAAAAATGATGAGGCAAAATTTTCTGATATTATATGCAGAAATATCAAATTAATTGCTAAAAAAAGTTGAAGTTGAAGTTGAAGTTGTAGATATTTTAAAGATATGGGAGAGGATTTTTAGCACTCCCTGGACAGCCTCCCACTTTCTCCCACTTCACTGGTTCTCCATGTAATAAAAAGGGAAAGACATGATACTTTCGATATTTTTACATGACCAATGCATCAAAGATGTTACCCCCAATAAGCATCCCAATGTATAGCAACGTAATTTTGTGGTGTAAGGATAAAGGGGATTGAAACAACAGTTGAAAATTTTTCCAACCAATGCAGTAAGAGAATATAAACTATAGGTTCTCGTCAAACTGAATATATCATAGTAGCTAGGATACCAAAAAGCAGTAAGAAATATAATTGATTAAAAACTAGAGCAAGATGGAGGAATGGGTGAAATGAAAAATCTTTTTGGTACTACAAGAAGAATAGGGAACTAATGCTCCTACATTCCCCGTGATTTTTACTAAGATGTTGTCTCTGTAATAATAGTGACACTAGAAGATGAACAGATGAATCATCCTGTTATCAAACATTCATAGACCCCTCAAAAAACAATCTTCATATCATAAGACCTCTTATGAGAAAATAACTGCTAAAGAGAAAAATGGGCAAGGAAGGGGCTATTACGTAGGGAGTTACATTCTTTCGTAGGAGGCCTATCTAGAAGGCAGTTTTCGCAACTGAATGTCTTTTTTACGTTAAAACATTCTCTTAATGGCAGTGCTCATCCACCCCAACAAGGGCTTTGCCCGTCACCTCCAAAGTGTTCTTCAAACAGAAAAAAGATCTCAAATAAATTAGATTCAGCATCTTCAGTTGAACATGAGTAGCCTCAGAATTGATAGCACTTATACTGATGAGAATGCATACTGAAAATCGTATTTGAGCAATTACAATCAAGCAAAAATCTACATAACTGTAATTTATTCCAGAAAGTATGAGATAAAACTCACATGAATAACTAAGACAGGACATTGAACCAATGGGATTTTGTCAATATTCTGCATCTCAAGGGAAAGTAATAAGTGGTTACATGAACATTTAGCCCAAAAAATATTATAAGATAGTTAAAAATCAATTTTGTGCTAATTCCATCAAAATTATTTTACCTTATAAATGTCAAACCAGTATGTCCGTTTAACTGGATACATTACTCGAAGACCAGACATGATTGGACTGTGAAGGACCGCAGCCCTTAATCTAGACAAACGGGATGCCAAATCCAAAGTGGGCCCACTCCCAACAGATTGCCCATATAAAATTATATCTTCTTCTTTCAGTCCATAACTCTCTTGAAGACAGTTATATACAGCTTCTATATCCGCATATGTGTTCTGTTCACTTGGCTATCAAAACAATGATAAATGCAAAATTTAGCATGTTCATCGTAAAATTCCTTCAAACAAATCCACCAAATCCATCTCTCATACCTTTCCGGTCGACTGTCCATAGCCTGAGTAATCATACCTGCCAAAAATGACAGCTAATTAGGAAATCAGCAACGAGTATGCAGATTTCAATTGCCTCTCTTTTCCCCTATTCTGTGATTGGTTTGGTGTCAAAACGACAATTTCCTATAGGCAAAGGACAATAATCAAAAACTGAGCAAAAATAGCATGTTGTGAAATTAAGTTTCCAAAACCAAATTATCTACAAAGATTCAATAACAGGTGGGATAGATAATTGATCAGTTAATTTCATCAATTAAATAACTCTAGATACTCTTTCCACTTCAAGAAACAGATTCTTAACTCTCAATCAACAGCTATATTTATCACAAGATTCGTCAATATAAAGATGAATAATCTAAATACCTTTATTAGCACAGTCATTATACTAACAACTTTCCGATAAAAAAAAAAAAAAAATTGAACCTTTGTCGAATCTAATACACTGAACAAATACAACTAAACAAACAAACAAATTATTGATCCAAAATTTTCAAAAATGTGTAGGAATTTCAGTACCCCATCATGTTGACTCGAAGGTGAATGCTGAGCTCGCTGAAAAGATCATACATCTGACCCAGATCGGCGGCGTTGCCGTGGGAGTATAGCATCGTCAGCTTCGCCACTGGATTCTTCACGTACATAGCAACGATCTCGTTCCCCCTCTTCGTCTTCACTTTTAATACATCAACGTTATCCTTCTTCGCCACCCCAGTCATCCTCAGTTTGCCCGTCCCCTCTTCCGCCACTACCCCGTACGACGGCGGATTCGGCGGAAAGAACGCAAACTTCGCCGCCATAGACGACGTCACCGCCCCCATCTATATACAAATATAGAACCACTCTTATATATTACCTATATGCTATATAGCTATATAAATATGTGGGATTTAGACGGGTTGCGAAGAATTTCCCTTTTCTATATCAGGGATTTTCCATAGATTAGGTGGAATTTGCTCAACCGTATAGTTTGGATCCAATTATAATATGTGTGAATTCTTTACAGTACCGTATAGATACAGGGATCTATATGTGTATCTATATGTCTGGGCTTGTGTTTGAAAATCAAAGTATATACCGATAGATGCAGATTTGTACGTATTTATCTACGTTGAAAGGGCAAAAGAAAGGAGGGGGGAAATGGCACGTGGGGTGTAATAAAGTAGAATGACCGTATGGGGTACGAAAATCCCATGCATCTTTACTAAAGTCGTTGTGTTTTTAAACGCGACTTTTATTATAAACTTGCGTTTTGGTGTTACTTGGGTGAGAAATGAAGTGGACTTTTCCGAGGCCAACATGGGACATGAGATTTGGATAGTTCCAAGAATATTGTTGTGGGACATGGACCCACAATGTTCCAAGAATAATGTTGTGGGGCATCGATAAACAATGTTTGTATTAGACTGACTAACGGCTGGAATGAATTGTTTGGTTCAATTGTTTTTCCCCTTTTTTTTCTCTGTCACTCTCTTTTATTAAGGCTCATTTGAGCTCATTAATTTGAAGTAATATATTATGTAATAGTGATTGATGGAGAATGTGTGATTAAAAAAAAAGAAAATCTTTTTGATCTGTGTATAATATTATTTTAATGAAAAATATGTGATTAAAATGAGTACCATAGAACAAAATAATGGAAAAGAATGTAAAAAAGTGGGGCTCAAACAGAGACTAAATGTGTTGAATACCGATTTTCGATCTCACGCAAAAGAAAGAAAAACAATAGTATTACGAGCACGCTGCTCTTATAAAAATCAGATCAAATTTGAAAGGACAGTTCGGATTCAAGACTGCCGTAATTTTTGGAGACATGATGATTACATATTCCTTACACCTTGTTAATCAGTCAAACTTGTCGAAAATGAGGTCAACACCGCCAACATCCACCAATTAATTACAACCATTGCTTATCCTAAAGTCATGATTTCCTGATGAAAGGGGGCGTTATTATGACGCGATGGGAACTGGCCTCATTATCCAATCACAAACAGATTAATGGCACACTACCCGAGCTCAGCATTGTAGCTGATTAGATTGACAAGACATAATTTTAAAAGAACAAATGTATTCAACGATTTTTGACGTCAACAAAATGCATTCAAAATTTTTGAATTTTCAATGCTAGTTAAAATAAAAGATAGATAAAAATAATAAATATTTTTTGGGAGTAATAAAATTAAATGTTAAATATAAAGAATCTGTTGGAGTGCTTCAAAATTTTTATTTGTTAAATTTATAGATACTCTCTAAATGATAGAATATGTTCTTTTAAAAATAAAGAGTCTCTTGTAGATGTTCTCAAACATGAGATGTTTTCTATTTTAAAAGGTTAACCCTTAAAATCATATTCCAAGAGACTTCATAAATTAACATTTTAATTTACGAAGTAAGTTTGGCTCTCCAACTTACTCTCTATAATTAAATGCATTCAAAATATTTCAAATTTTAATATATGAAAATAATAAAATAACTTAAAGTTAATTAAAATAAAAGATAGAGAAAAATAATAAATATTTTTTGATAGTAGAAAAATGAAGTGTTAAATATAAAGGACTTGCTAGAGTACTTCAAAATTTTAATCTCTAAATTTGTAGATGCTCTCCAAATTATAGAATATGTTCTTTAAGAATGGAGTCTCTTGAAAATGCTCTTATACTTATAGTTCAATAATCTTGTATTTTTTTCTCTCCCATGGCCCGTTAGATTTGATTTAATATATGATCAGATCAATGGGTAATCATTATTGACTTTTTTAGTGGTATTGTTGATTTTTTTGAAGTTAATTTTTAAGTAGATGGTAGACCTCATCTTTTTAAGTTGCTTCCAATTTACACTACAGTAGAGGAAGTGTCATAAAGATCTAGGAGCATGAGCAGTACAAGTTGAAACTTGAAAGGCTTCCATACTGTTTGGAGGGTGAGGTCAATAGATGCCAAATAAATTTGACCCTAATTTATTGTTGTATAAACTTCCTAGAAAATATTATAGTTATTAAATATCTGATCAATTAAGTTCTCAAATTGGGGAATGAGAAACTTTAATTGGCCGCTTTATCATGCCTTGCATAATTTTGGAGATAATTGTTTCAAAGCTCACTGAACTTTGGGTAACGTCACGTTTTACTCACTGAACTTTGACTTACACTCGATCACTCACCAAACTTTACAACGTTGTACTCCATTCCTGACCCCGTTAATTTCCTCACTAACTGCTGCATAGGTGGACGACAGAACTGACATGTGGCCATTAAATGCCACCATGGATTTAAAAAAAAAAAACCTGGAATTAAAACACGATTTCACCCTATTACCATGGCCAATATCAAAGTCTCCCCTTTTTGAAGAACCCTAACCCGACAACATCTTCCATTTGACCCAGTCACATACCCCACCGATGCTAGAATCTAGGATGCACAAAGTTTGATTATCAAAGATTCGCAAATGATGGGACCACGTGACGGTAAATGCGAAAATTCTCCTGTCTGTGTTTCAATTTATGTTTTTTTTTTCTTTTTGTGGACGATCGCTTGACTGGTAGATCTATATCAGCCACATATGCTACATGTTTACCATCAGATCCCGCATTCATAGGGATGTGCAGAAACACCTCCTTATCTCTAGGAAAATAGAGCTATTATATTATTTCCGAAAATCACTAATTTCCTTGGAAATTAGCTCATGTTTTCCACATTCCCCCTCAAGGAATAGAGTTTGATGTATGTTATAGTGGTTTATTGTCAATGGCATAATTGGGTGGTCATTGTTTCTGAACAATGTTGTGATGTCTCTTTACATTTTCTTGATTTTTTCAAGGCATTGTTATATTATGTTGTGGCTTGCAAAGTTGGTTGGTTGAAATAGATGTCACCTTCTTGTGCTGAAATAGATGCATTCTTTTATAATGATACCCATAGTTATTAATTGAAAGCTTTTTTAACAGATGCGAAGGATGACTCCGATTTCAATTATTCTGATAATGCTATATCATCTGGGGAAGACAATCTAGAATTCGACAAAAATGTAATAGAAGGAATTGAGTTGGGATGTGATGGGGGTGCAACTGAACAAGATGAAGATGATTATGCAGGAACAGAACACAATAAAGATCAGGAGGCTGATGATTTGGAATATCCATCATCTGAAGAACAGTTGTCGGCTATCTCATCTGATGATGAGGTTGGGTATTGATTTCAGGAGTTCAGTTCAGAAATGTATATGCGAGATCCACACTTTCAGATTGGGCAGTTGTTTAGTTCTGTTAAAGAATTTAGGAAGGCCATTCGGACGTACGGTGCAGTAAATGGATACAATGTGAAATGTAAGACAAATGACGAAAGAAGAGTTTATGTCATATGTAAAGCAGAGTGCAAATAGAGAATATGGGCTTCGAAGATAAATAATTTAGATACGGTGCAAGTGAAGTCCTATCCGCCTGAACACACATGCAGTCGGGACCAATAAAATCGTTACTGCACCTACATGTTCATAGTCCATCGGTATTTCGAGCAATTTAAGGCAGATCAGGAGTGGAAAATGAAAAGTATGCAAGTGACCGTGAAGGAGGACTTGAAGATAAATATTACTAGAAATGTCGCTTGGAAAGCAATAAGGAATGCAAAACAGATGATAAATGGGACTATTGAAGAACAATTTATCGGAATGAGGTCCTACGCAGCGGAGGTGTTGAGATCCAACCCAGATTCAACGGTGATGATAGCACTTAACGGTCAAGTGTTTCAAGGTGTCTATATTTGTTTTAGTGCTTGCAAGAAGGGGTTCCAACTGGGGTGTAGAAAGATAATTGGAGTAGACAGGTGTCACCTTCGTGGTGTTTGGGGAGGAATATATTGCTCACTATAGTCGGCATAGATGCGAACGACTGCATCTTCCTGATTGTTTATGCTGTTGCCTAGAAAGAGAACACGATTGCATGGAGATGGTTTATGAGATATCTGGCTAAGGATATCCATATGGGAAATGGTACTGATTGGACTGTGATGACGGATAGACAGAAGGGCTTAAGTAATGTCATTGACGAGTTGTCTTCGACCATTGAGCATAGGTTTTGTGTGAGGCATATGTATAACAACTTTTTCAGTCTGGAATCAAGGGAAAAAGCCTGAAGGATTTTCTTTGGCAAGATGGTGTTTTTTGTTTTGTTTAATGCCAGGATGTTGTTTTTTGTTTTGTTTTTACGCTAATATCATAGCCCTTTTTCTATCTTGCTATTTTACCTAATTTATCCTGTCAAATGAGAAGGAAAATGCAAGTGCACACCTGGGTTCTGGAAAATAGTTAAACAATATTATCTCCAAATGAGATGTTCCAAGTGTGTTAATCTAGTTTCCAGAACCATCGAAAGATGTTGTATCATCCATGCATGCATCTCTCTACTGTGTTTTTAAGGTTCATGGACAAGAATCAAGAAAAGGATCACTTCTGTTATCAAAATTGTAATATTTAGTATCTGATCATCAATTTATTTATTTATTTTTATTTTACACCTAATAATGCAACTTATATAATGTGAAATCTAAAATCCAGTAAAACAGGCTACAGAAAAATAGTTAGTATCCTACATTTGATAGCAAACACCACACCACCAGTCTTTCTTCTTGTCCTCTATTTGGTTCTACAAAATATTCATATATCAGCAACTTTAATTTTTAAGGTATGATTTTCAATATTATGGAGACTTTCACCATTACTGTCAAGTAGAAATGCTGAGATGTCTAGACAGACTTCCCAATTTCCTGTCATCATTTCAAACTTTTCTGTAGTATTCGTATTGTGGCCTTAGTTGTAGCTTACGTTCTGTTTAATGGACCTTTGCTTTTTATCTCAAAATGTGCAGTAGCATAATTACTTGCCCCAAAATGCATAAAAAGGACGCAGAAGCTCATAAAGACTTAGTATGTAATATATCACCTTACTTACCAAATTTGCTCAATATTAAACTAAAAACATTTAGCACAGACATCCAACAACTACAATCATTACTGGGACATTCAACTAGAAGTGGCAATAACATAACAACCAACTTGAATTGAAGTCTACTAAATGTTATATCACTACAACATTATAAACTAGTAATTCTCGT